AATCACAGTCGGTCATTCGTGGATGTGTCAGGCCGGGACTCCGGGGATTCCCCTCGGCTTTCCGGGAAAAGGCGGCGGCGGCGGGAAAGGGACCGGGGTCGGATTGGAGCGGCATCAATCACACCGGGAATCCCCGGGACTCAAAAGGTCCGGACTGGGACATACTGGGAGCAGTACCGGCACCCGCACTGACCCTCCGGGACCCTCTGGAACCAACTGCGAAAAGAACAGGGACCAACCGGGAGCAGGATCAGGACCACAGCTGGACCCAGCAGAATCCACCAGGACCACAGCAGGACCCAGCAGGACCCAGCAGGACCCAGCAGGACCCAGCAGGACCCAGCAGGACCCAGCAGAACCACACCAGGACCACAGCAGGACCCAGCAGAACCCACCAGGACCACAGCAGGACCCAGCAGGACCCAGCAGGACCCAGCAGGACCCAGCAGGACCCAGCAGAACCACACCAGGACCACAGCAGGACCCAGCAGAACCCACCAGGACCACAGCAGGACCCAGCAGGACCCAGCAGGACCCAGCAGGACCCAGCAGGACCCAGCAGAACCACACCAGGACCACAGCAGGACCCAGCAGAACCCACCAGGACCACAGCAGGACCCAGCAGGACCCAGCAGGACCCCACCAGGACCACACCAGCACTCAGCAGGACCACACCAGGACCCAGCAGGACCCCACCAGGACCCAGCAGGACCCACCAGGGCCCACCGGCGCCCCTGGCCCGGATGCTGTCTCCCCCCACATGCCGGCTCCTGGCCCTGTTGGGCCCCGAGCGCGGGCGCTGGATGCTGGTGGGGGGGCTGATGTCGGCTTCTGCCCTCGGTACGGGGGGACCCCGACCTGCGGGGGGCAGGACCCCTGTGAGGGGCTTCGGGATCCTATTTAGAGGATTTGGATGTAACCAGGGGAGTAGGACCCGATGGGGGGTTGCAAGGCCAATTTGAGGGGTCAGAACCCACTTTGGGGGAGGCCGGATTTGATTTGAAGGGAGGTCAGAAACAAATTTGTGGGTCAGGACCCCATTTAGAGGTAGTGAGCACCCAGTTTGGTGAATCAGGATCCAATTTTGGGACTCAACATCCAGTTTGGGGAGCGGTCAGGATCAAATTTTCAGGCCTCAGCCCCCAGTTCAGGGGTCACTACCCTGTTTCAGGGCATTTGGCACCCCCACCCTAATGCTGTGTCCCCACAGGTGAGGTGGCTGCCCCATACTTCACAGGACAAGTCACCGACCAGGTGACACAGAAGGATGCAACAGCGGCCGTGTGGCCCCTTGTGCTGCTGGGGCTCAGCAGGTGGGTGACACCGGAGCAACGGGGACACCCCGAGGTGCCGGTGACCCTATGCCCCCCTGACCCCGCTGTCCCCGCAGTGCCATCACCGAGCTGGCCTGTGACAGCCTGGCAGCTGTGGCGCTGACCCGGGCGCGGGACCGGCTCCAGCGCGGTGCGGTGGCTGCAGTGCTGCGTGGGGACGTGCCCGGGCCGGGGGGCAGCCTGGGGGACACTCCAGGCGCGGTGGCCGAGCGGGTGACAGGGGACTCTGAGGCGGCGCACTCAGCGCTGGCCGATGTGCTGGTGCCGGGGCTGTGGGCGTTGACACGGGCTGGGTCACTGCTAGCCATGGTGGCCTGGCTGTCCCCGGTGCTGGGCCTGCTCACCCTTCTGGCGCTGCCCCTCCTCCTGCTGCTGCCACACGCCGTCGGGTGCATCCAACAGGTACTGAGAGGACATGGGGTGTGAGGGGCCCCTGTCACCTCCCCGTGTGCCTTGTCACCTCCCTGTCCCCCAGTGTCCCCTCCCTGTCCCCAGTGTCTCCTCTCTGGACCCCTTGTCACCTCCCTGCACATTGAGTTCACTCCAAGTCCTTCCTGTCCCCTCCCTCTGCCTGCTGTCACCTCCCCATGCCCATTGTCACCTCCTCCTGTCCCCTATTTCCTCCCTGTTCCCCCACCTCCCATCCCCATGGTGATCCCGAGGGGACTTCCCTGTCCCCGAATGACCCTATGGTGACCCTGTGCTGACCCCGGTGTAACCCTCCTGTTCCCTCTGTGACCCCATGGTGACCCTGTGGTGATCCCCTGTCCCCCTCCATCCACCTCATGTCCCCCCATCCTTGAGGTGGCCCCTCCGTGTTCCCATGGTGGCCCCCCCTTGTCTCCACTGTGACCCCAGGGTGACCTCCTGTCCCGTGTGTCCCCAGGATCTGGCACGGCAGGTGCGGATGGCACAGGCCGGCACCACTGCACTGGCCCTGGAGTCACTGGGGGCCATAGGGACCATCCGGGCCTTCGGGCACGAGGCCGGTGTCACCACGCGCGTCCGGCAGCGCCTCGCCCAGGGACATCAGTTGGAGCAGAGGGAGGCGCTGGCCTATGCGGCTGGCTGCTGGGCCAGTGGGGTATGGGGACATGGGGATACTGGGGGCACTGGGAACTGAGGAACAGTGCTGTGGGAACGGGGGATGTGTTGGCACAGGGCTGGGGGCAAGGGCACATGGTGGCAGGGGGCTGGGCGGCATGGGAATGTGGTGGCATTGGAATAGGGGACACAGGGATGTGGCAGCAGGAAGTCACATTGGATGTGGTGGCAGGGGGGATGAAGACATGGGGACAGGGGCATGGGGACACAGGGATGGTGGCACAGGGATGGGAGGTGTTGACAGGGGCTGGGGAACAGGGACACAGTCGCAAAGGGCATGGGGACACAGAAACATGGTGGCCTGGGGCTGAGGGGCATGGGAATGGGTGGCCTGGGGAAGGGGACGTGGTGGCCTGGGGCTGAGGGACGCAGTAACATGAGGCTGGGCTAACACCCTGTGTCCATGTATCCCCGTGTCCCCAGTTCCCTGCATTGGCCCTGAAGTTGGTGCTCCTCCTCTTGGGGGGATACTTGGTGGCTGCAGGGACTGTCACCCCTGGGGATCTGGTCACCATCCTCATGTGCCAGCTGCACTTCATCACCGCTGCGAAGGTGATGAGTGTGTCCTCTACAAGTCCCCAGTGTGTCCTCTCCTGTCCCCAACCCCATTCCCTGTGTCCTGTGTCCCCCTCGTGTCCAATTCTCATGTTCCCATGTCCCTACATCCTCCCAATGTTGTCCCCATGTTCTCCTGGCCATGTTCCTGTCCCTATCTCCTGTGTCCCCGGGTTCCCCCACTTATGTCCCAGTGTGCACCTGCCAGCTCCCTGTGTCCCTGTGTCCCCATCCATGTCCCCATGCCTGTTCCCCGTGTCCCCAGTCTGTCCCAGCCGTGTTTTTTCCCCCCAGTCTCCAACATAACCCTGCTGTGTCCCCTCCATGCCCCCAATCCCCATTCCCCACCTGGCTGTGCCTCTCCCTATCCCCAGGTTCCCCTGTGCTCCCATGCATCCCCAGGCTTTGCCGTGTCCCCAGTGTCCCCCCATGTCCCCATCACCCCCCATGTGCCACTGGCTCCTGTACCCCAATGTCCCTTGTGTCCCCCAAGTCCTCCCATGTCTCCAGGCCATGCCAAAGCTCCCCCATGTCACCTCATGTCTCCTTGTGTCCTCCTCACATCCCTGTGTCCCTAATGTGCCCATGTCCCCAGGGTGTGCTCCACTACTTCCCGATCCTGGCCAAGGCCGTTGGCTCCTCTGAGACACTCCTGGAACTGCTGGAGCAGGCCAGGATGGTGGCACCCGCAGGGCCACCGTCACCTGTCACCCCCCAGGGCCATGAGACCACATGGACTCAGGGTCTGTGCCTCAAGGATGTCTGGATGTCATACCCTGGGCGGTCCGAGCCAGTCCTCAAGGTGATGAGTGACACAGGAGCATGGGGAAACATGGGGGTATTGTGAACATGGGAGGACAAGGGGACACTGGGGACATGGGGAGGACATGGGGGAACGTGGGCTTTGGGGGGGATATGGGACACAAGGGGATATGGGACAGAGGCACACGGGACATGGTGGTGCAGGGGGGTATTGGAGGCATCGGGTGCGATTCCCGTTCCTGCCACCAGGGGGTGTCGCTGTCACTGCGCCCCGGGGAGGTCGTGGCCGTGCTGGCGCCCCCTGGTGGCGGGAAGAGCTCGCTGGTGTCAGCGGCACTGGGACTGCGCCCCCTGGCGGGGGGGGCGGTGCTGCTCAACGGGATTCCCCTGACCCCCAGCTCGGACCCTGCTCTGCGACAACAGGTGACACACACGGGCCACCCCCGGGCCGCCACTAGGTCACCATCCATCCCCTGCTGCCATCCCCCTGTCACCAAACCTGTCCAGTGTGTTCCCATGGCCACCCTGGGCAGCCTCTTGTTCCCCACAGCCACCCCTGGGTCTGCCCCTGGTCCTCAACAGGTCCCCACTGCTACCCCCAGGTCACTCCTGTGCCCCAAATGGGTCCCTAGTACCCAAGGTCACCGGTGGGTGCCTCAGTGCCACCCCCTGGGTCCCCAATTCCACCTCTGTGTCACCTGGGTCCCCAGTTCCACCCCTGTGTCACCAGTGGGTTTACCACGGCTACCCCCAGGTCACCCATTTTCCCAACAGCCATGACCACCACGTCACCCTGTGTCCTCAACACATCCTCACTGCCGCCCCCAAGTCACTCATGTGTTCCAAACAGTTCCTCCCAGCCATCCCTATGTTATCAGCCAGCCTCACCATGACCCTGCCACCACCCCATGTCTCCACTTGTCCCCTCCTTGTCCCCTGTGCCAAATCCCTATGTGGTCCTGTGTTCTCTCATGTCCCCTGTGCCTGCAGGTTGCTGGTGTCCTGCAGCGCCTGTCCCTCTTGTCTCGCTCTCTCAGCGCCAACATCACACTGGGCTGGGGCCACAAGGAGGGGACAGAGGTGATGGCAGCAGCACAGCGGGTGGGGGTGCACACTTGGGCCAAGCAGCTGCCACATGGCTATGACACAGGTACAGCAAGTGTTCCCATGCACCCCTTGTAGTGTCCCCAGTGTGTTCCAAAGATGTCCCAAAGTGTCCCAATAATGTGTCCAAGGTGTCCCCTTGGTCTCTTCAGTTTGTCCCCATCGAGACCCCATGATGTTCCCCTAGTATCCCCATAGTGTCCCCTGCTGTTCCCACGGTGTCACCTCACCATCCCCAAGGTGTCTATAATGTCCCCACGGTCTCCCCACTATATTCCTTCTGTTCCCTCACTGCTCCCTGACTGTCCCCATGGTGCCCCCAGGGTCTCCCCATGCTGTCCCCTCCATGTCCTCTGCTTCCTCACTGTCCCCTCACTGTCCCATCTCTGTTCTCCCTGTGCACCCCAGAGCTGGGGTGCAGAGGGTCTAGCTTCCTAGCATGTCCCCAGTGTCTCCCAAACGTGTTTCCATGGTGTCCCCTCAGTGTCCCCATGCCATCACCACAGTATCCCATTGTCACCTCACTGTCCATTCTCTGCTTGTTCCCAATTCCCCACTGTGTCCCTTCGGTATCCCCTCTCTGCCTCCTCCTTGTCCCCTCACTGTCCCCGGAGACGCAGGTGCACAGTGGGTGCAGCTCCCCAGTGTGTCCACACGATGTCCCCGTGGTGTCCCACGTTGTCCTTGTGGTGTTCCCATGGTGTCCCCTCTGTCCCCAGAGGTGGGCCCACGGGGGATGCAGCTTTCAGGGGGGCAGGCACAAGGAGTGGCGCTGGCCCGGGCCCTGCTCAGGAACCCCCAAGTGCTGGTGCTGGATGAGCCCACGCAGGCACTCGACCCCATGACCCAGCGCCAGGTAGGTCACAGCCCTGTCCCTGTGTCCCATGGCCCTATCCCCCGGGTCCCCTGGGTCCCCCAGTCCTCATGTCCCCCGTATGCCCTGTGTCCCCTGGATTACCATGTCCCCTGGGGTCTCTTAGGTCACCAAATTCCCTGGGTCCCTGCCCCTGGGTCGCTTTGGTCCCTGTGCATCCCCTAGGTGCCTTCCTTGTCCCCATGTCCTTTGGGTCCCCCATCCTTGGGTCCCCCATGTGCCTCGTGTCCCCTGGGTCCCCACTCCCTAAGTGCCCTGCATCCCCTCTGTTCCCACTCCCTTGGTTGCTGACCCCCATGTCTCCTGGGGTCCCCTCTGCCCTGGGGTCCCCTGGGTCCCCTGGGCCATGAAATCCCCAGGATCCTGCCCTGTGTCCCCTTGGTCCCAATGTCCCCACGTTCCCTGGGTCCCCACATCCTCACATCTGGGTCTTTGTCCCAATCCTAGAGTCCCCTTGATCCCGATGTCGTCTGGGTCCTCATGTCCCCACGCCCCAGTCCCTCGCTATGCTCTCCACCCTGGGGTCCCCTGACACCCCCATGTCCCCGATCTCCACCGAGTTCCCCGTGTCCTCGTGTGTCCCCGCAGGTGGAGCAGGAGCTGCTGTGTCCCGGCGCTCCTGGGGCAGGGGAGAGGCCGGCAGTGCTTCTGGTGACAGGGCGGGTGGCCCTGGCCCAACGGGCTCCGAGGGTGGCCCTGCTGGAGAGGGGACGGCTGCGGGAGCTGGGGACCCCCGGGGAGCTAAGGACCCTCCCGTGGGGGACAGCGGGGGACACTGGAGACCCTGGGGATGGGGAGGGGGACGACTAGGGCTGGGGGGGGGACACCGGGGATGGAGACTGTGAGAACAGGGGTGAGGACGCTGGAGGAGGAGGGGCAGTGGAGGCATGGGGACACCGTGGGGGAGAGGGTGACTTCGGGGCCAGGGCTGTGACAGTGACCGAATGTGAAATCAATCGATAAATCTACAAATCTGTACATCAAGAAATCGATAAATCAAGCAATAAAGGCGTCGGGAGTGGGGCTGGGGCCGGGACCCCCCCCCGGCGGGGGCCCGCCGCCCCCCCCCCCCCCCCC